CCCCCGGGGGGGGGGGGGGGGGGGAAAGTCCACCAATTTCTCTGTCCACCAGTTTGTTGGAGAATTTAAGAAGGCTGTTTATTATCCAACTATATTTTTTACATGCCTTCAGTGGCTGCTTCATATGAACAGAAGGAAGGAGGTCAGAAGCAGTGATCCTTTCTGGGGAAGAACCCCCGCCCCCCAAATGGAAAAGCCACACCACCTGGGACCCATCCAATGGTGCCTCTTTGTCTACAGTCTGATCTTCCTGATCCCCATATTTGGGTCAGAGGTGTACCAGATCTTGTGACATCTAAGGAGACTTTGTGAGAAAAAATGAGGTTTTGCCAATGCGCTCTACTGATTATTTTTTTCTTTCATCCATGCAACAATAAGGCAGTTTGACCACCTGTTTTCTGAAAGTTAAAATTGATTTGTCGTTTTTCTCCCTGCTCTCTCTTCCACCTTCACCCCCACTTCTCATACCTTACCTGGTTTCTGTCAAAGTAATTGAAAACTGAATTGGACAACCCTTCCTTGCAGCCATTTTTTTCCTTCTCATTTCTCAATTACCAGCCAGTCAAGTGGTTCTTTTGTCTCTCGCCTTCCCTTGATGTTGTCTTGTTTCAGGTAAGGTGTTCTTCAGGTCAGGCAGGTTACAGTGGTGGAGACCCCAAGAAAAAGGAGATTTGTCTTGGCTGGTTCTCGAGGAGCTACATGGCTCCTGAAGCCGACACCCAATACAGAAAAGATATACTGCCCCTGTTTGATGAGCAATGGGCCAATAAATACATTAATCATCATTTTATGCCTCATCAAACACTTCCCAAGTTCCTCCATGGGAGTTATACAAATTAGCCCATGAAAAGGCAGTCATTTTAGTTTCGCTAGGTAAGTGTTTTCTGATTGCCTTCCTCAACAATGCTTCCCTTGACAAGCTAATAAATCAGGCCTTTCGGAACCCAAGTGTAGCTTGGCACGAACAATGATTTCACGTGGTCTTTGCGGCAGATTTTGTCTAGAAAGAGTCTCCACTCCCCCCCAACCCTGCTGAAGATGATGATCTGAGGACTAGAGACTTTGACTTGATTCCCAAGCAAAACCTTTCTTTGTGAAGAAGGGTTTTTAAAAGGAAGGTTAGGAGGGTGTGTGTGTGTGTGTGTGTGTGAATGAGTCTCACCAGGGAAAGGAGAAAGAGGTCTCCAGGGTAATGACATCCTATGATGATCAGAAGTGCCTGATCAGGGGAAAGGAAGGAAAGGAAATGAGTAGGTGTCTATTTGCCCATCCAGTATGTAACTACAAGACTGTTACAGTTCTTCAGTACAGTTGCCCATAAACTGTTGTTATCTTCTGCTTCTTCTTCTGCTTCTTCTGCTTCTTCTTTTTTTTTTTTTTTTTTTTTTTTTTTGCGGGGAGCATTGGTCACAAATTGAATGTGGAACTTTCTGCAAGATAAAGGTTGTCAGTTCTGACCTCTAGTTTCCCCCCAATGGACATTATCTTCCACACTATGGTGTGATTGACACTCCACCCGTTTTTATGCCATACATTAAAAACAGCGAGTTTCAATCACTCTGTTGTAGCCACCATCTTGTTATGTTTTGTTGTTGTTTTTACTATAGTCTGTGGACAACCCCGGGGAGGCAGAAGGCTGGATACCCCAAAAGTGAGTTCAGCCCTTTCTGTCTTGCATTCCTATGCTTGTTCTGCAGTGATGACACCCAGGTGGAACTGGGATTGTGTAAGGTTGATCCATATTGTCCTGTATTAAATGGCCCCGAAGTAGGATATTTAATCATGGAGAAAATCTATCTATGTGGTCGCTAGGAGTTGATGGCAGATAATCAATCAAAAGGGTATTTGAAGAACATTGAGGGAGGGTATTTTATGTCTCTCATCAGAACTCCACCAAAATATGTGCTTTGCAATATAGAATCTTCTCATATGATGTTTCTTACCCAGCTAATGAAACCCCTGTAATGAAACAGTGTAGTGTCATGTTGTATCATATATCATATATCATCATATATCATATGATATGTGATATATATTCTCCCGGATTTTTCCTCTTCCTTTTATTCTGTGTAAATGTGTTTTCTTATCAATGTTAACTATAT